GTCACCCAATGAAATTGAATCCTGTAACAACTGGGACAGACTATCTATCTATCTATCTATCTATCTATCTATCTATCTATCTATCTATCTATCTATCTATCTATTACACAACATGTAATTAAACTTTGGAATTTGTTATTCACTACCATGTGATGAGGTACTGACTACCAGCTTGAGTGGCTTCAAAAAGGGGTTGGGCCAATTCATGGAAGTCATGGGGATCAATGGCTATTAGCCTTCATGTCAGCGTGACTGCCTCTGAAGGGCATCTGCTAGGAGACTAGTGGACCTCCTTGTGCAGTTGGTTAGCCACTATGAGAACAGACTGCTGGACTAGATGGGCCAGAGGTCTGATCCAGCAGGTCACTTCTTATCTTCTTAGGATCACTTATTTTACCAATGCATGAAGGAGAATGAGAATGTCAAAGGCTTTGCTGAGGTCCAGGTATGGTATAATATGTGTATGGCTTTTTCCTATTAACATTGAGGAGGAGATAATGTTGATCTGGCACAATTTGTTTATCAGAAACCCATTCTAGTTCCTGTTAATTGTAGCATGCCTATTCAAGTGTTTACAAACATGCAGCTTAATAAATCTGTTTTAAGATGTTGTCCAACAGAGATGTCAAGCTGACAGGTCTATAGTTTCCTGGATTCTCTTTATTCCTCTTTTTGAAGATGGGCAAGACATTTGCTCTCCTCCAGTCTTCTGGGTTCACCAGTCCTCTAGAACTCAGAGATCAGAGAGCAGTTCTGTTGTCATCTCCACTAATTCCTCAATGCCACAAGATATAATCCATATGACCCAGGAGACCGAAATTTGTTTAAATTCTCTCTCTTTATATCTATCCTAAACTGTAATCCCTCATTCCCTCAGTGACATAATGATGACCAGCTAGGCTCCATTTCCTTTTTGAGTGAAGACAGACACAAAATAGGAATTAAGAATTTCTGCCTTCTCACCATCACTGAATTACTGATTAAAATGGATTTATATCCTCTTTCCTTTTGCTTCTGATTTACCCAAGTAACCCTTTTTTTTGTTTCTGGTATCTCTTATGAGCTCATTCTTAGCTTTGAGCCTTTTTGACAGAGTTCCTACATTTTCTGGAGACCACCTTCAATTCTTCTTTGGTAATATTCCCCTCCTACCATTTTTTTGCATGCCATTTTTTCTCTCCAGCATTTCAGAGAGCTCTGCATGTATCAATGCAGGACACTTGAGATGTTTTCTTTATGCAGCAATTGTCTGTGATTTCACCTACAGTATTTCATTTTGTAGGATTTTCCCACCCTTCTTGGACACTTTTCTCCTTTAGAATGTCAGGCCATTGCGTCTGACTGACCTTTCCTTGGAGTTCATAAAAACCTACTCTTCTGAAGTCTGATATGCAGATTTATTGATTTTTACTGATTTTATCTTTTTATTTATTGGATGCAAGCTGCATCCAGTTCACCTCTTTGTAACTCAGATTAAAACAAATAACGTAAGCAATATAAACAATAATAATCCAACAGTTTGTAGAAAAAACAGTACGTAAAAATGGGATCTGACTGTTCTGTTTCTCCTCACCTGGATATCACAAATTGAAGGATAAAAACTACTACTTCCCCCAAGGGATAAATCATTTTCACTTGTCAAACAAGTCCTCCCTGCAGGTAAGAATTAAGTCCAGGATATATCCCTTTGTTCTTTCTTTTGCCTGCTGACAAATGAAATTGGACATTTGTTGGATCTCTGATCCCAGATAGGATAAGTGAAATCTCCAATTATCACTCTTGCATGCCTCTTTGAAAGACTGGTTATTTGAAGTAGAAAGGCCTCATCTTTATCTTCTGCCTGCCCAAGCAGTCTATAATAAACTCCCACAACCCCCACCTTTCTCATTCCTGTTATATTTGTCTTCCTGTTAAAATATCTACTTGTCCCTGCTTATTTCCCATACCTTGTGCATTAGTAGAGAAACAACGAAGGTTTCAAGTGGCATCATCTACTCGCCTTGCTATTGTAGTTTCTTACTAAAATGCATCCTACTTGTTTTCTAGCCTTTGTCCAGGAACTTCCACCTCAAGATTTAAAATAATCCAAGTTTTTCTCTACTTTCTCTAGAAAACAAGGTTCTGCATATGTGACCAAGAGTCATGCCTTACTCATAGGTGCAGAACATGGATGTCTGCATTCTGTAACTGAGTTAGCAACTTGTACAACCACAGACACAATACCTCAAAATTTATATGACAGAATTAGAAAAGATGCATAAAAGAGCAACTAAAACGATTAGGGGACTAAAGCAATTCCCCTACAAGGGAATACCATAGTGTCTTGGGCATTTTAGCTTGAAGATAAGGTGAGTGAGGGAAAATATGATAAAGCTATATAAAATAATGCACAATATAGAAATATGTGGATAGGGGTAAGTTTTTCCTCTCTAACAATGGTAGAATTTGAGGTCACCAACATAAAAAAAAATATACGGAAATTCAGGGCCGAAGGAAATACATTTTTAAAGAACACATGCTTAACCTGGAAAATTTACTACCATCAGATGTTATCACTGAAATAGAATTTTGGGGGGATTTTTTAAGGAACTCTAATACTACATATTAAGCAAATTTTAGAGTACAGTAATAGGTCATTTGGAAAACTGGAAAAAGTAGGCAAGAGCCTGGAATTCCTACCTGCACTTTAAGTAACAAGGGGCTAAACAAGATAAGTGAAAGTGTTAACTACAAGAATGTAAGGTTGTTGAGTATACTAAAACAGCTGAGAATTGTTAGCAGGAATCAAGGTTTTCTAAAGATTGGCTAGGGAAAGTAACCAATTTAAGATACAGCATGAAGGCTTACTGTTTAAGTAAAGGGTTCTATTGTGTAGGAAAAGGTGATCTCATTTATCTTCCCCTCCATATAGTATTAAAATGTGTATTAACCAATCAACTGAGGTACTATTGTCAAAGTATAATGTTAATAACCAATAATGTTGTGGGTGACATACATGTAATTACATGTAATTAGAATCTAGCTAATCAAATGGAAGAATTACTTCATATGCCTGTAAGAGGGTCTGTAACCCCACTTCTCTCTGGGCTTTGCCATTGGGCTTCCAGTGCTGAAATTGTTCAATAAAATCAATTTGCTTCAATGTAATGGTGCCCTGGCTTCCAGTTTAAATGGATTTGGGGCTGGGGGGAGGGGAGGGGGAAGATTTTCTACTATATCACTATTGTCAATTTAGACATGTTTTAAGAACATACCAGTGTGGACAAAGTTATGGAGGATCAAGCTATTTATGACTACTAATCTTGATAGCTACTCTACCTCCTGAATCACTAGCAGCATACCTTAAATAGTTGCTGCTAAAGAGCAATTGTATGACAGAAGTTGCTTGATAGCCTCTTCTTACATCCTGATATTCCTTTAACAAAGCTGTCAAAGTCAGCTTATTTTGGATCAAAACCTGAGGAAGCTAGGATAAACAATTTTCAATTTCCTTCTGATATCTTTAAATACAGAAAAACTGTCCACACATCCTACCTTAGTTTTCTTCTTGTTGTTTCTCAACATCCCAGTTTATTTACTTATGTTCCTCAATCCCTTCAGCATTTCCTTTTATAACCATGCTTCTAGACACTTTCTTCTCCTTCTCTGAATATTTTCACATTTGGACAGTACCCCAGTAATACATCTCAGTTAATATTCCTTCAAAGGGCTCAAGGCAACTTGAGCCCTTTGAAGGAAGCTGCCCAGAGTCACCTGTTGGGAGCCGCCCAGAGTTACCCGCTGGGGGAGATAGGCGGCATACACATTTAATAATAAATAAAATAATAAATAAACTTTGGACCTCTCTCGATTTTGTCCCCACAATAGTTACCTTGGGAGGTGGTTTGGCTTGAGAGAAAGTAACTGGCCCAAAGTCACCCAGTAAGTTTTTATGGCTGTTTCCATTACTAAGAGTCTCCTCAGTCCTAGTCCAACATCTTAACAATTATACCACATTGGTATCTATTTCCTTACAGTGATTTTTGTAGATTTTGAAGAGCAAGAGAAAAGGGTGTAAATTTAAATGCTTTGATGCAGCTCCTGACGTTTTTTCCAAATATTTTTGATCTTCCTACATAACCACCATTCTGAAGAAGAAACCCCTCCCCAGAGAAACAAATAGCGGTTTCCCATTTTTGTGAGACGAGGGATATTCAAGCCAAGATTTCCAGCCAGCATGGCTTGAAACTGTGCTGATTGGGAACTGTAGTTCACTACATCTGGAAGACATCAAGCTAGGTGAGGGTAAGCTATTAGGTGTAGGGAATCACCTTGGGCTAATCATACTATCCTAGGATCTAAACTAATTTAGACAGTAAGGAAGAAGAAAGTCTCAAGTGTGCTACCCTAAGTTCATTGGAAATAGGGCAGGATAAACACATAACGTGTGCTTGTTACTCAGTTATTCTCCAGAATGAAAATGGCTAGCTTTCTTTAACAATACATTTGCTTGTTTGTATTGTACAATATTATTTCAGAATTGAAATGTTCAGATTCATACAAAATGGGAAGATTACCTGAAGTTCAGATGCTGGTGTTTCCAAGATTTTTGCAAGTGAGTCTCCTGGCTGAGCTTGTATCACATCAACAATTAGCCTTTTCGTTCTTAATGAAAGTCAGAAAAATGGTGATTAATGGATAGATGTTAAAGACTGCTACAGTATTTTACATGTAATCATATACATGTCTATTCAGAAACAAGTCTCACTATATGAACAGAATCTACCCTTATAAGCATGCATCCTTCCTGAGGATTACTATTTATGACCCAGTGGGGGAGCTCAGTAACTCTAATGAACAATGGGAATATAGGATCAAAAGAGGAGATATGGAGATCTGAAGGCATGAGGGAATGCAACCTATCTAGCAAACTTATTCCTAAATCAAACCTAAAAGAAGGCAATGGCAAATACTTTCAACACTGATTAATTTTCAGACTAGACATAAGCTAAACTGTTCTTGATTAATTGTGGTTTTATGTTGATTTATTTTTTGTAGCATGCTATCTGGAAATGTATGTATGTATATAGTGCCTTTGAGTCAGTGTTGACTTCTGGCAACTGCCTGGACAAGTCCTTGCAGTTTTCTTAGCAAGATTTCAGAAGTGGTTTGCCACTGCCTGCTTCCTAGGGCTGAAAGGGTGTGACTGGCCCTAAGTCACTCAGCTGGCTTTGTGCCTAAGGTGGGACTAGAATTCATGGCCTCCTGGTTTCTAGCCTAGTGCCTTAACCATTATACCAAACTGCTCTGGAAAGGCAGCTTTTAAAATCCTTAAATAAAATGTAAGGAGGCTCCATATCTGTAATGGGAGGAAGGAATGACCTTGAGGGACAGGAGGAAGAGCCACTACCAAGACAATGATCAGATAAAAGAAACCTGAGTCCAGGGCAGAACTGTAACTTGAGAAACATCTCAGACAAGACTCTCCCTAGTTCTCATGACGATAAAGGGAGGGGGGACGCGCATTCACATTTGCAAGATTATAATAAATAAAAGTAGTATTGGCCTGCATTACTTTGGTTTCCTAGTCTGGTCTACCTTGAAGAGCTGACATTAGCACAGTGAGATTTGGGATTGATCCATATGATTCTTAGGAACCTCTTTCAACTCTGTGACTCTTAACTCCAAAATTTCTGTTGGTAAAGCAATCAGATCAGGTGATGCTTCTTAACAAGAGTTGAATTGGCCAATAAAATAGAAACCAGTGGAAGTTTCATTCCCTCCACTGCACAAAGGAAGAAGCACAGCAGAATTAAGCTGTTCAAGAAATAAAAAGAACCAGCCAGAGATAGTGACATGCAACAAATATAGAACATGTTTTGATGCCAGTTTCCTCAAATTCCTCTGCACGCCAAAATGAATCAGGAAACAATGCTTCTTATATTATGGATTAATAGATGCTTAACTTAAATATGTAAACAAATGAATAAATATCATAATAACTTCTATATCCAGAAATTCTTATTGCTTGGAAAATTGAGAGAATGTTGTTGATTTTTTTTTCATTATTCACTGAAGGAAGTATTTTCAGTCAAATTGATACCCAAATCTACAAATAAATGTGATCTCCAGATCAGCTTGCCTGTTGCTGCTAGGTTACATAATTTTAGATGCTAGGCTATTCCCTGTCTATTTGCCATGATCTTTAATGACTAAAACTGACACTGATATTTATAGGTTTTATGATGCTTCTATTGCTTTTTCCTTCAGTTGTTTATGAACTGTCATGCTTTTTAAGAATGACATCATTTGTGCACTGTTGTTTTAACTAAAGGCCTCATATTGAAGTACCTTACATTAAGAGAAAGGTTATAACACAGTCTCTTACACATGCCACCATTGGCATAGAACTTTGGAGTGAAATGGTAAGATAGACAAATATGATATTCTTGATTATCATAGAGAAATGAACTGTGTATAGGTATATACATATTAGGCCTGTCAAGAATTCTGGATTCAAACATAAAAAAGTACTTTGTTTAGCGTAGCATCTGTATGTAATTCCTTAGGCCAACTACATCTTTTCCCAAGATTGTGCAGGTGCTGCAAAGGGCAGCTGTGTGATCCTAGGAAAATGTGGAGCTCCTTTAAGGAATTGCAAACGGGTGCTATATTCATGCTCCCAGACACTCTAAAGAAGAAGATGGAAAGAGAGGGAGGGAGGGGGAAAGGGAGAGAGATGGAACAGAACACACAAAAATGAAGTGGAACTCCCTTTTCTCTACTAATAATTAAATGGCACCAGAACACGAAAAGTAGAAGTTAATGTCTGTGTGCTTTTTTAACAAAGGTACTTTAAATATTTCTAACTATACAAAATCCAAGGCAGATGTTTCCTCTGGTTTCCTGTAAGTCTAATCTATATCCTGCTGCTCAGTGTCTTTTTGATATAACCTTATCAAGAAGCCATTTCAGTGCTCTTTCTATGGACTTTCCAATAGCATTTTAATTTAGAGATGCAGCCAAATACCATCATACAAATTCAACACTGCATTTAAATGGCATGGTAGGCATTCAGGATTTTAAGAATGATTATAAAACTTAAAATTAAACATACTGCCTACTGGGCTTAAATAAAGTTTTCATACACACACACACACACACACACACACACACACACATTTATTACTGGCTAACAACTCTTCTCATCATATAGCTAAAGTACGGATAAAGATTTTCAGTGGCTAAAGAAAGCATTTATTAGTAAGAAATTACTCTGCTTAATTGACAAAACCCTTTTAAACACCACATATTTTAAAAACATACTTTATCATTAGGCCCTTAATGTCTTGTTCTTCCCCTTCCCGTAAATCATATTTCCTGGTCAGTGAAAGAGAAATTTCTGTTTTAATAAGTTGACTTAAAGTGTTTTCCTTGTTAGGGTCACTGGGATCAACAGCTCCTTCCCCTGCATAGAAACAAAATATTAATGCTTCTAACTTTATGCTTATGATGTTTTCAAAAAATGCAAGGTCAGAATAAAAATAGAGAAAGACAATGCTGTACAGATAATGCTTACATTAAAAATGTTTTTCAATAGGAATTAAAATCCAGGAAGATTTCGTGTATGAACTACGCAAATAGAATATATTTGTAGTTCAATTATTCAAACATGTTATTCTATTGATGATAGTTACAGGAATGTAAAGAGATAAGGAATTTATAGACAGCTCTGACTGTAGAAAAATATGTGGAATTGTATGATACATGCTACTCTGATTAAAACAAATCACTCTGTCGACTGCTTTTATTAAAGATTTGATTAGCAGACACACAAGACACTGGGGTTTCCCTGCTAGTTCTCATACAGATAAGGTATTATTGGAGATCTATGAAAAAAATACAATTTCCATTTTTTATTAACTTAAGAATCTGAATTAATTACCTCCAAAGATACTTGACCGCCTGCAAAAATGCACCTGTACTTTTTCTAGTAATCAGTTCTGGCATTAACTTTTAATTTTCATATTCACATGTGGCTTATATACTTTTGAGCTGGCAAAGCACCAGGTAAAAAAAATTAATCTAATCATATGCTGACAGAAAAGAGAACGAACCTAATGATTAAATGTAGAGTCACCACAGAACTCTAACTGTACTGCCTCTGTGTTCTTCCCCTCTGTCATCTAGAGGGGAAAGAAATATATTTATTGATAATGCTGGAAGAAGCTGAAATGTGTCTTCCAAATCTCTACCCTTCTCAAAGTGGAAGAACTAGGTGCTAAGGAATAAGCAGCTTTGAATTTTGAGTCACAAGCCTGTAGAGGATATCTTACTATCATCTTCTTTCCAAGCAGACTGTAAAGGCAGAGATGGAGAAATGTCTTGTTATGTTGCTAACCAGGCTCCCAGACCAATCCTTAAGGAGAACCTGCACTACCTCAAATATAATCTTCCCTTTATTCATTCTGAACTCGATTTCAAGAAATGTACCCTCTTCCCTGTCCATATATCAGTTGAGGCAATGCATTAGTTACGCTGTTAAGGAAATATATGCATTCAGCCCACCTTGATGTGGTAATGCTCTGAACTGAGATCATGACATTGTATTAGGTCCAGAAATCCATGCAATGTTTTCAAGTGTGCGTGTGTGTGTGTGTGAGATATGGATAGCTGTGCTGCCTCCATCGTAAAGGAAAGAAACAAATTTTCAAACGAACAAACCAAATCCTGAACACCTGTATTAACCAAACAAAAATATTGCTCTAGTTCAATTTTGATATTTCTTTTAAATCTATGCATAGGTTATATCCAATGTTTTAGCTGCCTTTTGTGGTTCTGTGGCATTTTCTTACCAAGAAAAGTCTCTACATCAGGAACTTCCCCCAGCCCTTGCAAGAGTTCATTTAAGACATCATTCTGGTCTGGAGCAATGGCATCCTGATGTTCTATCAATAGCTGTAAATGAGATTACATTTGTTAAAACTACTGGAACAAATCTGATGTTTCCCACATGCTAATATTTATTTAAATATATAACAGAACCGGAATTATAATAATACAAATGGAAATAATCACAAAACCAGAAATGGATCATGAAAAAGCATTGCAGGAGACATTATAGAAGAAAAATGTAAAATTCATATTCATATGGAGGAAATTATCTCCATTTCACATGAACAAGAAATAAATCAAATCATTGTGAAATGTCTTTTCAGTGTCATTTTAGAAAACAGACAATAGGAAGAATTTGTGTACAAGAAAGAAGACACACAATCCTAAAATACACTCTTAATTTTTGAACTGTAATTTACTCCACTGATTTGTTATTTAAAAATGCTATTGGATGTGCAAAAGTGTGCTCTTCATCCAAAAGTAGTATAGAATTTTTTTTATTAACACTACCATTATTCACTTTCAGATTAATTGGATTTGATTAGTATATAGAATTGTCACTATTCTAAAGACATTTGACACAAAAAACATGATAAAATATTAGTAAATGAAACCAACATCAAATGTTTGATTTGAAGAATTCGTTAAGAGAGGATTCTATTTAATGCTTTTCCATTCTCTATTGCAGAATCTACTGCTCCTACAAAATACCTTGTTTCATAGTTGAGAATATGAATGGATTCTGGATAGCATCTGCTGGCAAAAGAAGCTATGTGCCAATGGGAGAGGACAAATTTTTATTTCCCCCAGCATATATCCTACAGAACTGAGGAACCCCACAGAAAAAAATTGGGGGGAGGTGGGAAATTATCCTCTTCTACTCTGAATAGATTCTACCTCAAATAATAGAGGATTATTTGTTGGATGCCATTTGCTACATTTCATCCTTGCTACTTTTGGTATGTTACTGCATATTTTTCATAATAGTCTCTTTAAAATTACTGTTTTAAAAAACAAAAAGTAATCCTCCTCTGGATTTCTGCGGGGTTCCAAATGCATTGCTGCAGAACTATTACATATTTCAGTTTCAGGAGACTAATCTACAAGCCTTCAAAACTCAGGAATATTAGAAAAGGCCAGAGGTTGACAAGCAGTTAAAATTCAATATGCTTTTTAAATGAATAAAGCAAGGACCTCAACCTAATGTTTTTAGAAAAAAGATGCTGAGTTAACCTTTCACCCATGCTTTTCCTACAGTCAGCAAGTGTTAGCACTATAAGAAGAACTACATCCGCACCCATAAATAACCATTAGATATGCAGCTGTGTTTCTTCAAGTCAGAATTTTTTTTAAAGTTGAAGATACCGTCCTTGAAATAAATGTAAATTCATAGATAAACACTATGACCACACAGCTTGATTTCTTCTAATTAGCCTGCCTACAGTCAGTAATGTTATTTATGCTGTAAGAAATAGGGAAGACCATGATAATAAATAACTACCATTAAATAACTACCATTATTTAACATTTCTCAAATTTATTTTTTCTAAGCACAGCCACGCTATGAATATCATACTGTTATAACGCCACACAATCTAGCTATCCTAAATTTAAAGTATCTGCCTAGCTATCTGTAAAAATAAGTATTTTATAAGTGTTATATAAAAGAACAGTATTAATTTACAACTGTGAAGATCAAACCTGAATAATTCTAATCTTTCAGGAGACTAAATCATTAAATTGTATCACATTTTCCTGCAAACAGGAAAAAACTAGAGCTAGAAACACTTTATAGAAGAGTGGAAGGAGAATTTCAAATCAGATTTTAGATGTTCCATCACCACTGCAATTCGAGTTTTCTCCTACTTGGGTTCCCCATCATATTCTTCTTTGAATTAATATTTAAATAAGGCTTGGTTAGAATTAGTATTTTTATCCTTAATATACCCAATATTCTTAAGTTTTAATATATATAGCTACAGACTTCTAAAACTACTATACCTGTTAAACAGAACATGTTCCTACCCTCTTTTTAGAATGACTTTTACTGTAGATCACTGAGGAAAACAAATAACCATTAAACCAGAGCATCTGTTATTTTACAGGATAATATTATCCACATTCTCACTCTACCACATTTATTCATCTGAATAAGCAAGCAGTTAAGTAAGGCAGTCTTCTAAGATTCTATAACACTTTGTTTTTTTCACTTTTATTAACAAAAAGCAGGGAACCTGGTATCTTCCAGGTCGCTTTGGCCTTCAAATCTGATAGTCCCTCAGCACTGGCCACACTTACTGGGGGTGAAAGAAGTTGAAGTTGGAGAATGTGGTTTGCTGCTGATACAGAGTCACAAGGCTGCAACAGTAGAAATTCTAGCAAAGCTTACAAAACTAAAATGTAGATGCTCTGGAATACAGCCAATCCCAGAAACAGATCCATATGGAACACATTTCTTCTTCAAAACCCAGTTACCCTCTCCATTCTTTTTAAAGATTTCTTTATATGTATGTAACAGCTCTTGTTTAAAACTAACATTCTGAAGAAGTATAAAAAAAAGGAAAAAAAGTCTGCTATACAACTGTAATCCCCTCCCAATCTGTATAGATTAGGAAATGAATGATTATGCTAAATTAAAAGAAAGATTAAGAACAGCTGTGTTGCTCAAGTTTCCCAAAGAATTTGACTAAGAATCTAAACATATGGCTCAATTCATCCTGTCACTGCAATTTAGTTTACAGATCTCACTCAATCCCCAATGTTTAAAAACTAAAAATAGAACATCGTCTGCATAGTTTGCGGGGTAGTCAATATAACATACAATGCTGATTTAGATATCAAGAAAATGCTCACAATTTGAGGTTGTTTGCTTTTGGAGAAATATATTTTAGGAGTTCTCTTTGTTTAATCCCTTTGAAAGGACTATAATACAAAACTAGATTCAGATTCTGTGAATAATGTCTTAAAAAGTGGTAATTCTGCCATTCATCTGTTCTTTAGCCAAGAGAAACAATACACAAGACACATGTTTCATCCAAAATAATTAGTTTCCATCATGTAGTAATTCCAAAAATAGTTACATTTGACACTCGTATATTTTTAAAAAATGTTATTTTCACATCAATATATTGAAAAGCATTACACGATCAGAAGCACAAGGATTATTCCTGCACTTTCTTCCAATAATTGTTACATACATGTTATAATAGTCCTCGACTTATGACCACAATAGGGACCGGAAAATTCATCATTAAGCTGTGCGGTTGTTAAGCAAGGCATCACATGACCGCAACTGATTTTACATTTTTTGTGATGGTTGTTAAATGAATCACTGTGGTTGTCAAATGAATCTCAGGGTTCCCCAGTGATTTTGCTTGTTGGAAGTTGGGCTGGGAAGGTCACAAATGGTGATCACATGACCCCAGGATGCTGCAACTGTCATAATTACATGCTGGTTGCCAAGCACCCGAATTTTGATCACATGACTGCAGGGAAGCTGCAACAGTTGTAAGTTCAAGGACCAATGGTTGTAAGTCACTTTTTTCAGTGCTGTGGTAACTTTGAATGGTCGCTAAACAAATGGTTGTAAGTCAAGGACTACCTGTATATGCACTGATTGTCTTCATTAACACCGAGAAAAAGGAAGATGACAAACACAATTCATCTTCTCTTATAAAATTCTACTGAATACTCTTGAACATTTCTTAACTAATATATATAAAAGAAATTACATTCTCATTAATGCCTCCAAGGATTTGTCCAAATCCTCAGGTTCCCATAGGAATCTAATTCCAATGGGAAGAAAATGGTGGGTCTCTACTACCAAACTATACTTTCTACATTTTCAGCTCCACAGTGCCCAAAACTTACAACTTATCCTTTCCTTTGCATGCACTTACTGAATGGGTGTTGATAATTTCTTCAATAGAAATATATATTACTGGTTTACTAAGAGTCACCATATCAGAATATTCATCAATATTGAATTTTTCTTCAGGTTCAGGAACCACACATGCTGCTTGAAAAAAATTCCTAAAGTGAAAAAAGAATAGAATTTCAGAACACTACATATATATGCCACCAATATCCTACTCAATGCTTAAATCTAGGATAGAATGGTTTTCTAACTATATATGGAGTAAAAGCATTTTAAAATACTTCTCCATAGCATTAACTTAAAAGAGCCAATTACTTAAGTAGTTGCATCTATTTTCAAGGTCATGGAGAAGCCTGAAAAAAGATGGGCTGCTTTAATGAACAGCAGAGAAGTGCTGTGCTCATGCAAGGCCTGAATCACTCCTGAGAAAATTTTAAAGCGTACTCAGCCTAACAAGAATGCAGATTCTGGCTGAATGTTAAGAAAAACTTTGACAGAGGAAGGGAATTTCCCCTTCACTGGATAAATTCAAGCAGAGACTCAAAACCATCTGCTAGGGTTGCTTTAATCCAATTCCAGCAGTAAGTAGGGGATTAGACTTGATGGCCTAAAGGATCCTTCTAATTTTATGCAATTCAAAATCTTTTACCACCAAAAATATTTATCACAGTAGTAAAATGAAAAAAGCAAGAAAAAGTAAAAAAATAACAGACTGTCAATTTGTCTAATACTCCAGTTCATGAATATGAATAAAATTTTAATAAGATTTCAAACAAGCGTTGTAACCGTTCACTGACATATGGAGCTTTTCCACATAACTAAGAGAGTACCTGGACAGCAAATTTGCTTGTATCAAAAAAATTTATTTTCCCCAAACATTTCATCAATATATCTAGATGCAATTTTCTAATTGCCTAACAAAATAGCAGAGATAAGCACAATACCCTTCTTAGGTGGGAAATGGTCCCTGTATTATAAAAACTGTTTATTATGCTTGAGAAGAACATTAACTTCCATGATACTTGCCAAGCGGGTGTGCTTGGATGGAAAAAATCAATAAAAATATCAGTGAATTCAATTCATATTACTAGCTGGAATAGGAAGATTATGATGACAGAAAGGAAAGTCTTTTGTTTTCTTCAGAGGAAGTAAAAACCCATCAGGTCTATAAGAAATCTAAATAAATGAGTGATGCGTAGAAGAGATCCTTTCATCTCACACTTTATAGTACATGCCCATATTTAAATCAGTACAAACCTGAATTTCTCATATGTTTGGGAGAGATAATTGTTCATTGATGAGAGATGAGCATTTTCCCCTTCAAAGAGGTTATTTGATGCAGCATGTTGAAGGACTTTGGCTATACAACCTAAATTTCTCCTCTGATCAGAATGTATCTGGCCTCCAGCTGTCATGTCAATAATGTCAAAACCATCAGGTGCAACAATAGCTGGATTCATAAATCGATAATACAGGAGATTTCCAACAATCTATGGGGGAAAGAACACTTTTAGATACCTCTACTTGGCATATTTATTCACATATATGATGCACATGACTTCACCACTTATCTGAAGATATAACTGATGCTTTAGTTATATCTTCAGATAACTAAAGCATCTATTATAGGGAAAGTAAACATTCTAAACATTTTAGGGAATTGTTTATACTTATGTAAGAATGAAGATGTACCTAAATAAGAACATTAACTCTTTTCCCCCAATAATTACCTGCAAAAAAAAGGGGGGGCAAAGGGAGACTGCATTTAGTTTATAAGACATTGCATGTGAATGGGTGGGAGGTGCTAATGGATACAGACAACCTACTGAAAATCATAGATCCTTTGAACATCAGTTGTTTGGGAGGAACTGTTTGGTGAATTTTAACTCTTATTCTAATGCCAAAAGAGTATTTCTCTCTCTTTTCTTCCCTTCCCCTTCATTTATCCCACTTCCTTCACCTTGTTTACATCCACTTCCCTTCCTTTCCCAGTACAGCTAATTATTCCTCTTCCTTTTTTCTTCATCCTGTTGTTTCTCTCCTTCTTAAATTCTGGCAGGTATATCTATACACATAGACATATGCTTATCTGCCACCCGAACATTTATGGGGAGGAGGGAATCTTCAGGATTGGCTTTAGCTGGCGTTGGCAATGTGGGCTGACATGATGGAATACTAGGCACGATTTTTTTCTGTCTACACTTCCTTTGTGTTGGGGCAGGGGGGGAACATTGCTTAAAAGGAAAATGACCCCGAATTTAAGACAAACACTGCATTATAATGATAAATAGATGTTTCTTTTAAGTATACCTTAAATAGTAGATGCATTGGTTTTTCTATTTTGTCAAAACAGTTACATGTGAATGAACTACTTCCCCCAAAATTACTGGAGGTGTGATCAGTCTTTCTGGTTTTATGTAAAAAACCTCAAACCCTGCCTTTCCAAGGTGTGATAAAAATGGTCTACAAAGTGTAGTAATGAATACACACTCAGTGACTTTCATTTTTTTTACCCATTTCATACTAATAAATAAGACCACTTTCTTTGGCAGAGTAGTTCAACTGCAAGGGAAGTGGGGACAGGGAGATGTCTAAGTTAAAACATCTCCTTCCATTTTTCTCTTTCTCTTCTTTTTTCCAGCATATTAAATGGCCATATGCTGAGTATAATAAGACTTTTGAAGTTTCAGAAGAAGCAACTTTACAGTAAAGTGTATCTTCATGTAATATAAGAATTTATAGTTGAAACAAACTCTATGCCTCTTTAATCATGCAATATTAAAGACTGCCTAAAGAACAGAGTGAGAGCCAGTTTGATGTTGTGGTTAAGGCTTCAGCTAGAAACTAGGAGACTATGAGTACTAGTTCCACCTTAGGCACAAAGCCAGCTGGGTGACCTTGAGCCAATCACTCTCTCTCAGCCCTAGGAAGGAGGCAAGGGCAAACCGCTTCTGAAAAAAACCTTGCCAAGAAAATCAAAGGGACCAGTCCAGGCAGTCACCAGGAGTCAATACTGACTCAAAGGCACAAGAAACAACAGCAGCAACAAAAGCCCCGCCTGAATGCTCAGAGAGCTCAGACTGGATCCTGAATCATATGGAGAGCTAAAGTTGCATTCAAGTTAGCCTTCCTCCAGAACTCACAGAGACTAGAAAAGTGGGGGAATTGCATGCTCAGCCCTCTTCTCTATCCTTTTCGAACTCTTCACACATTCAGGCAAATGCTTGACCCTATTGTGAGGCAAGTATTCTACATGGCTCAAATGCTTCAGCTCTCTAGGTTGGATAAAATATCACACTGCCACATCATACAAGCATTTTCAAACCAAGACAAATGCAAGAATTAATTTGTTCCAATATTACTATAACTAGAGTCATAAACTGTTTTTAAGGATTTATAGATAAACCAGACATAGATACAAAGTTAAAAATATGTTATGGCTTTTATTTTAAAGACTACTGAATCCTGTACCAAATCCCCCTTTACTCACAATTGACAAAAATTGGCAGGCATTTCCTGCCATTTTGAGGAAGGACACATATATGACCAGTACACCAGGCCTAAAACAGGTTTAATGTGGTCTGAAAAAAGAAAAATAACTATCCCTAATCCAGAAAAATGCAACTATTATTTGTAACGGATTACATTGACTTATATCCTGTGATTTAGGATATAAAACTTAGTAAAGCACCTTATAAGCAATACTACCCATTATAAATAAAAGCACAATCAATAATTTTAAAAAGACCCCATTCACATGAATGATATGGCCCCACCCATATTGCATTATCAAAAGAGATTACGTACCACTATGGCCACTTAATCTTTATCTAAGAAAAGTTTTCATATAGAATTGTCATGTTTTTAAAAACATGAGATTAAAATTCTTGAATTTTTATCCTGGTTCTCCTAAATTACTCTGTATTCCCAATACAAAAAATAATCCCCTTTCATATATTCAGAAAGTACAATGATGCTGTTGAATCACCCTCGCAAATCTACCTTTAACAGCTCATCTTCTGTTGCATCTGGGAATTTCTCATGAAGGGAGTTCTTCAGAACTTTGGCTATATATCTCATTCCATAACTACATGCAAAAACAGATGAAAAAGGAAAAAAGTGGAGACTTGGGATGAAAAACAAAGTATTTAAGTCAACCAAAAAAGAAAAACGAAACATTGCATTTAAAAACTTTAGAAATAAACAAAACAAGATGATATATCCAAAACGTAAAAAAGAAAGTACATTATGAATGCTTATTAAAAGTATGGGTTTGGTAATAGAGATGTAAATACTTCCCTCTGCTGGTAAAATATCATTACAAATAAAACATTTGAGGAATTACAAAATAATGTTACTTTTTATGTAAGAGTTCCACCAACATTCTCAGAGGTCCCTGCACTTACGGCATTAAGTTCAGAGATGAGAATATGGAGGCAAGGACTTTATCTGTTACTGCTCTGAGGCTCTGAATCGAGGACTCTAGTCGATTCACTACTTCAGGGTGTGTCAGGGCTTGTTCTGTTGTTACATCATAGGGTAATTTGCTACAAACAGAGAGAGGAAAATGATAAACTACAGAGCACAGAAGAATCAAATTTTTAATTGAACATTATTTTAAAAAGTTATAATTAAGCTACTTGATAACTTACTGAATTTGCTGGACTGATCATAATTATTTGTATAATAACTTATTTTAACTATGTTAAAGCATTATTTTTCTATGAACTTATTGAGACTTCTCCAATAATCTTTCAGACTGCCATGTTCTAAGTCACATCTACTTTCCAAGGCTTAAACCACAGCATGATACAGTACTTACACATTAAATGGCACAGATCTTCTTAAGACTTTGATAGACTGGAGGCAAAATATTCATTTGATCCCACCCGCAACCCAATTTTCTTTGACCACATCTTATTTTCAATGCAATTTTTCTTCCATTGTTTTTAATGTCAACAGCCCAATACATCAAAGTGTGCAGGCAAAATTCAAAACATTCAAAAATTCAAAACTTGTGGTATTACATTTTAGCTGATTATCACTAAATGTAAACTGTCAATAGTTCTGATTATTTAAAACAGTGAACTATACTTCAAATGGGACTCTTCCATGTTTTGGTGAGGAAATAATTTATATGGAAAGGAAACACATTCTCACATCGCCCATGAATTCCAAGATACATACACAAATGCATGCATATCTATTAAAAAAGGGAAATAACTTTTAAAACATTTTTAAAATTTCTCCTATGTAATTTTTTTAATGAGGCCCAAAATGTTAATGACCCTTCAAGGAAACATACAGCATAGTATGGATTACGGTATCCAGGAAGAAAAAAACTTTTTTTTTAAAGTCAGAGGGGAAAAAAAGAAATATTGAAACCTCAAAGTATTATAAAACGGAATGACTAAGTATTGATATTTATACAACAAAAGGCACAACTGAGATGAATCTAAGGCTTATGGGTAATAAGACTTATAATTCATTTTTATAGAATGAGTATCGGTATCATTTCTGTTTGCACTATCATCCTTATTATAATGGCTGTGAATCAGCCTAGTTCAGGTGTATTTCATTATTATGTATCAGACCAGCAGAGGTTTTTTATATGAAATTACTGTGCTTTTAAAGCCTGTCTTTGAGGCAGAAGGGTCTCATTCAGCAGAAACAGAGAGGCCTCCAAATACAGCAAAGATGATGTTTTTGGATGTTTGGAAATAAGAATATTAAATCCAGGACATAAACCTGTGTAAATGAACTGCTATCTTTAAGGATTTCACTCAAATAACACTAGTTTTTAAAATTTACAATGCTAAAAGATTTTGTACTCCATTGTTTTGGTGACATAGTTTATTTAACTTCATCCTGGAGAAGATCTATGTGGTTACCAAGAGTCAATACTAATTGATGGCATATAATCAATCAAATCAAAGTTTACTTATCTACTATATATTACAACTTATATAGATTGTATGCTGTTATATTTTTGAATCTGTGGCATGACTTATTTAGTACACATTTTGAGATTAAATAAATACACTCTATTTTATATCTTCACATTAAATTAATGTCAATATTTTTTCAGAGCCTGAAGAAATACTAAAGTTGAAAAGCCCTAAGTAGACTTCCTAATCATTTACTATGTTTTAATATAACCTTCTCCAGTCTAGGACCCTCCAAATATATTCTGCTTCAACTCACATAATTTGTTACTTAATGACCCATATTTTCCTTTGCTAGTTTTGTCATCTATTCTGTCATAATCCTCCCCTTTCATTCCCACTTTTGCAAGAGCACCTACAGATATTGAAAAACTAAAATCAGTTTTATTCATCTATTGCATACTGACCTGGCTTCTCCAGTTTGCATCTCCAACTGGTTTACCCATGCTTTGTACACTTCCACGGGACTTGTATTGATGACTAGGGATTTGTCATCCATTATGTCCTTTACCACTGATGACAATAGCTGACGTAGAGTATTCTGCCCTCGTGCACCTCGATTGAAGCTAACAACCATTTTTATGACAGTAGGATTTCCTGTGACAATATCCTGAATCTGATCTACTTTAGAACTGCAGTAAAGAAAATTAGCAACATTTATATTTTGACTGCAGACATCAAATCCATACTTTTTGCTTTTGTAGTGAGATTTTTTTTAAATGAAACCCAATTTTGCAACACTATTCTATTTAATGCAAGGATTAGTAAAATGAAGGTACATTTTGAAACACAAAGTATGATTTTGTGAAATTCAAATAATTTCTGCTGAAGTTTACAGCCTGATCCTTAAATCTACTTTAATATGATGCAAGCATCCTAAGTTGAGCAACTAGAAGCAACTTCCCACTTTCCCTGCCATGAAAAACCCATTATATCCCCTAGACGTGCTTAAAGGAGATATAATAGTGCATAGTTTTTCTCTATCGTGCCTATTCAAATAAGTATTAAAAAGTGAAGGGAGTTAATATGCATACTTTATTTCTTCTTCTAGAGCAGTTTTAAACAGCTTCAGAAGTAAGTATTCTTCTCGTTGATTAGAAGCATAATTGTACAGTGTGAAGATAACTGTATCCATAAACTTAGTGGATTTGTTCTGGGGCATCTGGAAGATAAGCTTTGCCAAATAAGTTGGATTAGTCTGTGGAAAGAATATTAGAGTTACTAGAATGGAACACCAACAAAAATGTATTTTTCAACAGACTATTTATTACTTATGAGAAATCTAAACTGTTCTTAACAAATATAAATTTATATTTGTACTAATGATTGAAAATTCTGTTGTAAAAGTGTTACCATTAGACTAGAAACCAAAATTAATTACATTACTCTACTTACATAAAATATATTGTGCCAAACTAATGCAATACTCTCACAGTCTTTTCAGTTTATATCATTGCCAGAACTAAATGTAATTACACCCAGATTTGTTATACACATTTTAATAAGAGCAAAAATCTTTAGATACATGACAATAATTTTTATCAGCTCAGCTTCAGTGTTGACACACTGATGTCAAGCTTCTCTTTCACTGCATAAGTAATTATAGCAATCTCTGAAGTTCAGACAGATGAATATTGCAAAGGCGTAATGTTATGTATAATATTGCAATCTGAAATCATTCCCTCCCCATCAGATGTCCAAGGAAATAGTCATAATTTAACTCCAAACAGCCCTTCAGCTTTGAAAAGGGAGGGACTGTGGTTGGCTTCCTCGTCATCTACATTCAACATTTGCTCTTCCACATCCTATCAGCAAAATTGCTTCACCAGCATTTTCACCAGATCTAAACACATCCCTGCAGCAATTCTGTTCTGGGTATTAAGCTCTCTTCCCACATATTATTCCTTGACTTCCAAAATTTTCTCAGACATTGAAAGAGTCGCTACTCCTACTAGATTAAATATCTGAGTAACCATTTTGTGGGGAGTGATAGTTCCTTGGCCTTTCAGTGATCTGCAGTCAGTGGGCAGGGCCATGGAAAAGAAATGGGGGAGGGGCTACATCAAAAACTAATTATATGATTATTTACCATGCATTTAATACTGTATTTTTCCGACTATAAGACGATACTTTTTTCTAAAATCCTTACCCTAAAAACT